GTGTGTGTGTTAGGTCCTGTTTGACACCTTGGAATACTTCCTCACAAGCATCTGTCCACTCAAAAACATGGCCTGCCTTTGTTAAATCTGTTAATGGTGCTACTCTCTTTGAGTAACCCTATATGAATTTCCGAAAATAGTTTGCTAATCCCAAGAACTGGCGTACTCCTCGCATGTCCTTGGGCCTTGGCTAGTCATTGACCACCTGTGTCTTTTCGGGGTTCACACGAATGCCATCTGCTAATATGATGTATTCCAAGTACTTGATTGATGTCTGGTTGAAGTGGCATTTATGCAAACGTGCATAAAACTTTTGTGCCCTCAGGACCTCGAGGACCTGCCTGATATGGGTCAAATGCTCTTCGGCATTCCTGGAAAAGATTAATATATCATCCAGATATACAAGGACGAACTTTCCAATATAGGGCCTGAATATATCATTCATAATGCACTGAAATATCATATCATGACGGCGCCATACGGAAATAAATATAATATAAGTCGGGCCAACCTCTTGGCCTTTATTGTCTAAATATGTGGATGTATGGGTGATACAAAGGTGCAAAATATTATGCATTGCAGCTTGGATAATGAGGGCCGAGTAGGGGGAATTTTGGAGTTGTTTTAGTGGTGACCGGTGGCCCGTTTTGTATAGTGCATTGTGTTCGTGTCTTAATGTATTAGCACACTTGGAGGTGTGACGGTCGGACAGGTATTTGGATGTAGGGGGCGAACCGTCTGACTGTAATTGTTGTTCCTGGCTCACTGCCAACTCCCGCGGGGGCCACTACGTGCCCTCGCCGTCCAATGACCATTGCTGCCACCGGCTAAAGAACACAAGTCTTGCGACCCCGCGGCCCCGGGCCCTGCTACATACTCCGAACAAGCGTGCGGCCCGATTATGCCGGATCTGCACACCATCAAGCGGAGATCCGAGGTCACCCGTAAGGGGTGGACCGGGCGACGGTAGGTGCGTGCCGGCTCCAACGAACAAAACCACGTCAGAGATGGCAATATTTTGTGTCAAAATATTAGTGCAATCGGCATCACAAATTCACCATTTTCTGACAGTGCCGGTATTGGTGCCAACGGCAATCTTGAACTTCCCAAACTTAAAAAAATCGGCAAAGAGCTCTGTTGCACTGCACCAAAGGTGGTGGTGGTTAGTTTCTCTCCAAACCAATATGTCCCCCGAGGGCACAAGCTGAGCAATTGGGGCACAATTTTCTAAACTTGTTAGTACATCCTGCTGCCCTAAGTCATCTGATTCCATCGCCAATATTTATGGCTTGTTTTCTGATGTCAAACTTTCTTGTTTTCTTGTGAATTCGACAACACTCGCTTTCCAAAACTTTTACATCTCTTTCACCACTTGTTTCTCTGAATTTCTTCTATTTTCATATGCATCTACCCATAGGGGTAATCGATGCAGTTGTTGTACATATGTTCAAAACCAATTTATGCATGTGCGGCAAATATTATCTAGTATACATAGTGCTTTCTTTTACCCTTTTTCTACCATTGTTGTGGTGGCATGCTCGGGCCATACAAGGCAGTGAGGTCCACATTTGAGTTGCGCAAACATTGAGTCTAGGGACTCAAGTACAAAAAGCAAACAATTGGCCTGCATTGCCGCCAAGTCTTCTGTGGGAACTCAACCACCATTTCAACATTCAAGGAGCCCGCCATTGAAGCCACCCAGCCCTGTGGAATATTCAATGCTCAGCGTGGAACATTCAGCGCATGTTGTATTCACTATTGTAAGTCTGTGTCGTATTGAGCGGGCCCACCTTGAGGTGATGTTTTCTTCCACTCTAATGCGTTGCCCCGTACTCTGGCCTGTGGGGCCCCCAAGGGTTGCCATACCGAGACCCTGCCGGCCCCCAACACCGTCCTCCCGACCTCTCATACATTCGGGGCCACCTTTTGCGCGTCCCTCCTTACCCTCTGTGGTACTGTGCTCCCCTTTTTAGGGGCGGCCCGCTGCTGGCACCGCTCATAAAGTTACGTAAAGTGATCGAACCACTGCAATACCACGTCAGCTGCAGCAACATGTACACACCTTGCCGTGTCATAGCCCCCAGCTTACCCACGCCCAGCGCTGTGCCGGCTTTAAAAGGCGCGCCTCCCGCCCGGCCCGTGCCAGAGTACCTTTGGCGTCCTTGCCGGCAGCCACCTGACCTCGCTTTGCCGGCTGTAGCACGATGGCGCGCGACAAAGATGGGGAAGCCAGCGAGAGCCCCGGGGGGGTGGAGGCGAAGCTGGAGGCGGGCGGGGGCAGGGAGGATGACTTGGCATCCTACGGCGCACTGGGCGCGACGCTGCAGCAGAGGGTCGAGGCGGCGGTCGAGGAGAACAGGTGAGGCGGGGCGGCGGCCGGGCATCGGCGACTGAGGGCGCGATGGGCGCATCGCGAGCGGAATGGAAATTGTTCTGTGGCGGGATGGGGCCCACGGGGTAGTCGTGCGGCTGTGGGAGGTCGATGCCCCGATGTTTTTGGCGGAGTTGGGAAACAGGGGTCGGGTGCGCGGTTTGACGACGCTAGGGCCAGGCGGCTTATGGATGGACGCGAACTGGCTCGTGAAGGTGTGGGAGAGAGGGGTGCCTTCGCGGCCCGCTTCCCTGCAGGCTCCTGTACTGCCCGCCCCGAACCCCGCGCCCTCCAAAGAGTGGGATGGTCGTCGCGCCATCTTCCTGCCCCAGTCATCAATCCGCGCGGCACCAAGCAGCTGGCGACGCATCTCGGGGCCCCGATGCGGCTCATGGCTGCGGCCGCATGCTTCGCAATCAGCCAGTCGGCAAGGAAACCAGCGGGGTGGGGCGGCCTCTGCGGCGGGTGGCGCGTCCAAACGGGTTTCCGAGTCGGTGCTTCCGATGTCGGTCCTCATGCAGGGCCTGTACGTCTCGGATACGACGAGCTACCGTGAGCGGTCTGTATGCCCCGTGCAAACGCGGCGGCTGGTGCGGGTGGAAAACGGCTGCTGTCGCTGGCGCCTCCAGGGCTGCCGGCGTGCGACCGATGACAGATTAAGGGCTTGGGCGAGCATGGGATAATGCGTGAAGCGAGGAGAATCTCGCACCTTGTTTCCCATGCGTTATGATGTAATGGCCGGATGATTGAGTGATTGGTTGAGGGCGGCGGCTGCAGAGAACAAAGTACCGGAAAGAATTGTTGCCGCTTGCTGAAACACTGTACCAGTAGCGCAATGGACGTAATGCTTGTTGCAAGGCCTGCAACGCCGCAAATGCCATTCGCTCCAAAACTGCTTCCACCGTAAACATAGAACGCCACTGCCACTGTGTTTCCAGCACACAGATGGACTCAGGTTTCCAGCCAATGACATGTTGATTGTAAACTCATCGATGGCAACTCACCCTTATGCAGCGCAGTGAACTCGATCGTATTGTTCATTGATAACGCACGTGGCTGAAACGGCATGTACATGTGTTCTCCAGCTGTTCTGACTGTTGCTCGTTGTGCCCCACAGCGTCACCATTTTCAGCAAGAGTCACTGCCCCTTTTGCCTGGAAACGGCAGGGTTTTGAAGCGTACAGCCCACAGGACTGTGCCATACATTTTCATAAACAAGGCATGTGCAAGTTATGTGGACAATATTGGTGGATTGTGTATGTATGGCATCTTCATTGTGGTAGACAGTCTGATGTGGGAACTGTGCCCTTTTGGTCATGAGAATTGTAGACATGGCATTGTTTGTTTTGACTCCCTCCACAACATCAGTCAGGGCGAGCTGACAATAGTATTTGGCACAGATCCATTGCTCTTGCAGCTTCAAAACCCCATTAGTGTATCTGATTCACAGCGTCGTCAGTGCTAGAGGGACGGCAAAGTCAAGGAAATACCCCTGGTGAGGTGATGGCAGTTCTGCAATATCTGTCTTTCAGGAGTTCATTGGTGGCTGCGATGACATGAAGGCACTGCAGCAGGCTGGAAAACTGATCCCCATGTTGAAGACAGCGACGAAGCAAGAGACTAAAGGTGAATAACTACCACAACTTCTCCGGTTTGTACCCGTCTTGTGATTGGTATGTTTGCACCGATACCTGAGTGTTATCTTTTGCAACCTTGCAGCATCCATTAAGCACAGAATTCTAGCCAGGTTCTCAGCATCTGTAACAAATACCTGTGCTTGCTTGCTGCAGTGCCACCTAGAGAAGATGATTCGTGCGTGGGCATCGACTCGCAGCCTGCCCAGGGAAGCCTATTCTGGTTCCCAAACACGGTGGACAACAGGGTCGTGCGGCTGGTTGCACTTCAGGTGCGGCTTGCCTCATGATGTCCATCAGTTGGATAGGAGGATCCGCATCATAGCCAATACAGCAAATATCAAAGTTTGGCCCAGAAAATCGTATTGGAAACAGAAATTGTAGTCATTGAAGAACTTGTGTTAGTTGGAGCATGTTTCGTAGTGCAATTGGTGTGCTTGTGCTGTCCCCAAGATTCCTGGTATCTTGTGATCCTGTTCCAGAAGTACACAGAAACAGGTTGCCAGACCGTGAATGCTCCAGCTTGTGATCAGTAGCAACGCTTCCACACATCGCTGTTTTGGTGTGCTGTGCAGGTCTTTGTAATTGCAATTGTCATACTGGTGTGTGGGATCGCATTGGAGGACGACATCGAAATTAAGTGGTTGTCACTGGCTCTTCTTGTCGACTTTGTTGTTCGCTTTGTTGCTGGCTCTGCACCTTCCCCTGTGGGGGCGATGGCAATGAACTATGCGGCACTGGGAGAAGTGATCAAAGGAGACAAACCGAACTTCTCACCAGGTGAGCCCTTCAGTTGGCGGCACAGAGTATATGCTGTTCGTCTGGCCCATAGGACTGTCTCTGGATGCAGGAGTCGTTGTTGTCAAGTCTGTTCGATTCCATCTTTTGTTTTGGATTATGCAGCGGCACAGTGGCAGTGTCAAGTGTCAGATAATGGCCTGAAGGTCAGTTTAATAGCGTAGCCTAAGATCACCACAGTAATTTTACTACACATGTGTGCTTTTAGTGATCCCAGCCTGTGCTGATTGGCAATCAATGAGACGTTGACTGTTTATTTGTTTCTTTGTCTGAGAATGACAATCGTATGCTTGGGCTTTTTATGCACCACAGGTCCACCAAAGCAGTTTGCTGCCTTTGTGGGTGTGATCTTCACAACAGTGACTACAATACTGTACTTTGAAGGAGAGAACGAAGCCGCATCAGTTGTGATGGGCATCCTCATCATCGCAGCTGGTCTGGAGGCCTTCCTGGGAATGTGCTTGGGCTGCAAGTTTTTCTCTTACATGATAAAGTTCCATCTTGTGCCCAAGACCATTTACAGGATACACATAAACAGCCGACCTGAGCTGGCTGCTTCGTGGGCACACTTCAACGAAAGGCTGAATGAGGGTGTCCCAGAAAAGCACTCAAAGGTGTTCTCCACCCGTGGGCACCCATCCACGATTGACCTCAGCTACAAGGTGAGCATTGATGCACATGTAAGGGAAAGACATCAGCTTCGAACACAAAGGCTGCTGCCTCTTGACTGGATCCAGTGCACCTGGGGCTTCTCTTTGGCAACTTCACATATAGTCGCAAGTGATGTGCACACTCACATGAATGTTGGTAGAAGGTGGGTTCCACACTATACATTTAAAGACCCATTCTCCAAATGTTGATAGACGAGGGCATGTTTTGAACGATGCTGGGAATTTGTGGTGCCCAGGTCAAAACGGACGCGATGACCAGGGAGGACTTCCACCCATTCAAGCACGTCCAGATAGCCCACTTCGCCATGCACCTGGCAACCTGTGGCCTCGCCGTTGTGTTGAAATTCGAATCGGATTTGCGGGACAGGACTCGGGATACTGCATGGAAAGTTGTAGCAATCATTTCAGCGGCCGTGTTCGTCATATGGCTGGCACTGTATGCCATCAAGTGGGTAAAGTACCCACAGAAAGTCAGGAAGGAATGGATGTGCCCAATGAGGTCAAACTTCTTTGCAGTGCCTCCAATTGTGCTGCTGCTGCTTGCATTCTTGTTGGAGTCAGAGAGCTCCGATGGCGCAAAGGCCCTTTTCTGGATTGGAGCACCACTTGGTTTGCTTGTCGCCACGATGCTGGGTGGTAACTGGCTTGCGGAGCGCCACAGCGATGATCACATAAATCCTGGATGGTTGATTGGTCCTGTGGGTAAGTTGAGGCATTGGCGAAAGAATTTTGACGCCTTCCATGCAAGCTGAAGTCTGCAGTTGTTGACACACCCCTTCACTGCACCATCGTTCTGCCTCTGTATTTCTTCTATTTTGATCGATTGTGTCTGGGCAGATGGGAGCAGATCCAAAAAGGCAGTACGGGGAATGGGCAGCATCTTCTTTTGTGCTCCTTGGCTGCGTAACGATTTGAAACATGCGGTGCCCTACGATGCATGGTGTGGGTTTTGTAGAGGCTTTGAACGTCGTGGCCACAGGGATGCCTCTGTCAATGTATAGACAGCAGGGGGGGGTCTGTAAGTTGTGAGGTCTTTGCCCAGACACACTTTCTGCAGATCTTGTGAAGCTGTGCAGTTCTTTTTGTGACGTATGACCAGTGATGGTAATGAATACAAGCAAATATGCAACAACAGTGTCATTGCAAATGAATATGTTGTGCTCACTATTTGTTAGAGCTCATTGTGCGTTCTTAGTGTGGAGAGTTCCAATTCTCTCAACTGCTAATGAGCAACTGTTGGCGATTCAGGACTCTTTATCGCAGCTTTGGTGATGCCTGGCATCGACGAAGACTACCAAGATGCTGCATACCTGTGGTTTGGACCTGCAGTTCTGATGTGGATTGTCCTGTTCACCATAACTTTCTACAGAGCAGTCGTGGGACACAACTCGGATGACCGATTGAGACCGAGTATGTGGATCTGGCTTGCTTGCCCGGCCATTGCGATGGTGACTTATGTGCAGATCACGGGAAACGGTGTGGACTGGGTTGCAGAGTCGCTGTTCTACATGGCCCTGGGCCTGTTCGGAATGCTGAGCTGGGGATTTATGCGGAACTTCTTCGCAAGGCACAAGTTCGTGATGGGCTACTGGGCTTTTGGGTTTCCATTGGATGCCCTTGCCATCGCAGCAATCCAATACGATGCAGCCATTGGCACAGATTTCACCAAGTGAGATGCGCCCCTGCAGATTCTTTTGATTGCTCAGTGATTGGTCGGTGCCGACAACATTGGAGTGGTGTTACTGTCTAACTGTTTTTACGCCCAACCTCGAAGCACGGCAGGTGCATGTGTCCAGCTTGCAAGTTTTGCAGCAGTTTAAACATATTTCTGTTGATTGAAGTTCATTGAATACACACAGATTGAAACTCCTGTTATTTGTCCCAGCTGTGCTGGCACTGCCTCGCAGCTGCATGTGTCTAGCTTGCAAGTTTTGCAGCAGTTTAAATATATTTCTGTTGATTGAAGTTCGTTGAATACAAACAAATTGAAACTCCTGCTATTTGTCCCAGCTCGCACTGCCTCGCATGCCATGGCAGCATTTGTTGCATTGGAAACACAATCGAAAGTAAACAGCAGCTTTCCTAATCATGCAGCTACTATGTTACTGGCTATGTACGCTGATGAGGATTGATATAGTTTGACAATCCGCCGCAGTCCTTAACAGGAACCGGTTGTGCAATTCTTAACAAGTGAAGATTGACATGAATTATGCTCAACTGATACTCATAGAGGGTCATGTTCAACAGGGTCATTGTCTACATCACACTGTCTCTTGCTGCAACGGTCACATTGGTGCTGACATTGCACACCAGCGCTGGGATTATTCGACGGGGAGTATTCATACCCGACTACAAGTGGGGTCCAATGAGTTTCATGAAGATCACACATCACGCATTCCGCGAATTTATCCCACGGCTTGTTGCTGCGGGCGCTGCCATGGAGGCAGAAGAGGACCAGCAGCACACTGTTGAAGCATTTGAAAAGCTGTGGAATGATTTCAGCCGCATGCATGCCATTCATTCACGGCACGAGGAAGATGTGAGTGATAGAGCAATTGATATTTGTGTGAGACCCTGCACTGTTTTTCTCCATTCCGCAGCACACTGCCCCTGCATCTGCATGGCACTGCTGCAACACGCTTGCATTGTCCGCAATCTTCGTGAATGCCAGTTTTGAGCAAGCGTTCAGAATTGACTCAAAAATCTCATTTTTTATGGTTTTGTTTATGCTATTTGTTTGGTATTTGTTCATTTGTATGGTCTATACTGGGTGTGCTCTTTGAGCATATGACAGTGGATGTCTCCCATCGAGGCACTGTTTCAGCCATTATGGCGTGCAGGAAAGGATGGCCTGCAGACGATTTCACTGGCATACCACTTCAGTGCTGACTGGGACCTTTGTAGTAACGCAATGTATCTGCCACACAACGCTCGCAAGTTTAGTGTCAACTATTGGAATGCTAATACATGCATGGTCAAAAGTCTGTGACCAAAGGGAAGGAGCTTCATGGAAGGCCAACATTGCACTGCTGATATCTGCCATCAGCATTATGGTTCACCTGTCCCACATCGCCTATAACATCCCTTTCATTACATGGTCGTATTGCGCATATCCTGGGTTCCCTGCTGGGCTTGTGTTGTCTGGTGCATGTCCAGTGTATAAACTGATCCTGTGAGACGCACCATTTCCATCGCAAGACGGTGTTTCGCTGACAGTGCACTCCGTGCAGGTTATCTTCCCCGAGATGGGGAGATGGTTCCCACATGTGGCAGATCATTGGGACCAGGACCATGAGGAAGGGCACCGAGAGTTCCATCGCCTGCAAAAACTTGTTGATGAATTGAAATTGGCTGATGAGGTTGCCAGCAGGGCTGCAAAGATCGGAGAACTCAGAGACAGTGTGAAGGCTATCACGGATAGCTTTTTGGTGCACATCCAAGGGGAAGAAGATCACCTGCAGCCCGTGGCTAAAAGGTTAGCACTGGTCACTGAACGAAAAAGAGGTAGCTGCAAGCAGGCAGCACGCCGACACGAAAATAGCCATGACCTTTTGCCTGTTCACTGCAAAACTTCGAATACTTCTTGGCTCGAATATGCTTGCATGGTCTGGTGCCAAATGCGGCTTTGCAGCCGCCAAGGCTTCGATGCCACGTTCGCTGCCAGCCATTCAATAGACGTCACATCATTGTTCCTGTGCTACGCTTGACTGCCTGTGCACGTGGCTGTCTACCGTGCAGCTCTGCACATTTCTCTTGGCTTGCAGCTGTGTCTCCGGACTGAAGAAGGGTTATATGTGATGGTCTGCGGCTGATGCAAGATGTCTGTAATGGAGTGCGGAGCATGCAAACCTTGCGCCCGTTTGGGTCGTGTCTTGAGCTGTCTGCATTAGCTGGTTGTCCATCCCTGAAACGTGTCAGAGCACACCCGAACCAACATGTAGCAGAAGGGCTTAGCAGATGCAATTCAATGAAACACTGTCAGCATCTCTTGAGAGTTATCCATGGCCTCGATTGTGGGCCCGCCGATGTGGTGCTAACGGCGTCCGCTTTTGTATCCTCGAACTTTTTGGGCAGGTACTTCACCATGTCCACGCACACAGGCATTGTCAGGAAGGTTTGGAACGTAACGACGGGAGAAGAGCTGTACTTCTTCTTTGCGTGGGTGGTGAATTGGCTGCCGCATTTTGCGATGAGAGTCCGCTTCATCAAGACCTTCATATGGGCAATGCCAGGTAGCTTAACATTTGCACACTGTGTCTGAGGAATGGTCTGTTATGCGTTGAGCGTTTGTACAATTTGGGCACTTCAAATGGCATCGATGCGAAGGGTGCCGTGATTTTGGGCCTTGGATTTCTTGCAGAATTCCTGTTTTCCTGTATGCGTCTTGTCATGCATTTTGCCGACATGGCAAGTCAAGAGCATCCTTGCTACTAGCTGCTTGCACCTAATCTTGAAATGGACTACCTTGGACTACCTGGATTTTGCAATAGCGCAAGTAGAGTGGCCTGCGTTGCACTTGAGGAGCTGGCAACTCTTGTCCAACCAGTTCCGCCACAGCCGAGTGTCGTGTATTGCATTTGAGATTTGTTTGATTTTCGGGCTGCTGCCGTTGCTTGAGTGTCGAGTATTGCTGCTTTGTGCATTTATGTGGATTGAGCACACATGTAGTCCATGTCATTTGCACACATCAAAGAAATTTATATGCAATTGGACGTGTTTCTCCGTCTCACCTAGCCGGCAAGCATGGCCTTTACGAGCGCAATATGTTCTGGCCGCGCTCTCTGGGGCCGAGGTCCACCAAGAAAAGTGATTAGCAAGAGCCATTCCTCAACAATTCCGCACGCATAAAAGTAGCGGTGCCTGCTGATACCAATTGGTGAATACGACGACACAAAGTCGCGATGTGGCAAAGGTTTGTCAATGGCGCGTCCCTGACCATAGCGTTATCCCACGCGTAGTGAGCGGCAAGGCGGAAAAGAGGTGTCGACTAAATTCTGCTAAAAGCAGCGGGTCCAATATGGGCATAAGCCTCCATATCTATTCCAGCCCGTAACGAAAGACGAACGGAATACGGTGTTCCTGCCCTTGCTATTGGAAACTGATGGGGATACAGACGAAATGCGAAGTGGGATTCAGGGATTTGCGCTGTCTCAGGCATGTACTGTGTCGAGGGTGAGCAAGGCACCAGTTGTCTAGGGGCGCAATCTCGATGTGTGCTTTGAGTACGTTGCGCGCTGTGTTGTGTCTGTGCCATCCTCCTTTCGTATTCTGCCGAGGCTTGCCGCGTTGGTGTAAGACACTAAGACAGGTGCTGTTGCACGCTCTCCCTGAGACATGATTGGCATTTTTGTGTTGCAGAGCACGCCCAGCTGATTGGGACAATGGTTGCTCTTGGCGTGGATCCCGTGCAATGGAAGCGGTTGACCGATGAACTGCCCGAAATCATTCCCAGAGGCGCCCCTGGCTGGAAGCGCTACTTCTGAAGACCAGGGGCCGCTGTTAGATTTGCTGTCCTGTCCTTTTGATATGCGTAGCTGGCACCGATGTGTTTTACCCATCTCCTGCGTTCTAACATCTTTGCGCAACCAGCCGTGGCTGATGAAGTTGCTGCATGATCGTCACGTTAGCAATGCTGCATTCCACGAATAATTAAGGAGAGGATTCCTGCAGCTCATAGCACCTGATGCGTGTTTTGGTAACCGTCTCACTGCTTCGAGCGCCTGTTGGTATGGCGACAATGTGACAGCGTCCGCTTTGCTTCCCTGTGCGATGCGTGTACGAGTTTTTTTATTGGAGTGAAGGCGTTGTGTGCGATTGTCAATGCAAGTTTGGAGACTCGAGTGACCAAAGGTGCTAGCATGTGTTGTTGCATGTTTATTATGTTGGTTTCCTCTTACCCATGCAATGAGCAAGGCTGGTTTAAATGCATCTGCGGCGCATTCAGCACACTGCGAGCTGCGTATTGTATTGCAAGCGCAAAGGAAGTGGCATTTTCTGCCTATACGGTCTCCTTCACCCCCCACCCCCCACCCCTCACCCCCCGTGTTCCCCACTGGTAGTTCGGCGATGAGACCGTGGGGATGGCAGTGTGAGGAGGGCAAGGAGAGATAGAAGCAAGGTGGGTCTTACATAAGGCCAAAGGGCCAGAGTCTGTCACATCACATACATACCCAGGGTAGTGCCAGTGTCCATTAAACAGGAATATGCCATAACGGAGAATACATTACTTCACAATGTACTTGGTGTCCATTACCTCACCACAACAATACCCGATGGTGACCCACTCAAACATGCGCTCTTCGCTTCGCATAGTACTTTATGCCACATTGAAGGTGACTGAAATTTCAGGCAGCGCCCCGTTCCTCGTGCTCAACTCCCTCTCCAACCTACAGCCAACCGAATTTCGCTCTATTAGGGTGGGCCGGGTCTTGCCCAAGTAGCCGTCCCGCCTGCTGCCAAACTTCCAATCCCATGGGCCAGCTTGCCCAGCCCCCGTGCCTAAGCCGAGGCTACAAGGATCAACTGATTGTCTTGGATCCGGCTGTTGGGACTGACCCCGGCACAAGGGTGCCGAAAACCGGAAATACACGGCCCTGAATGGCCCAGAGCGAGCGGCCACGCCCCAGGCCGGCCGAGGTGCGCCCACCCAATGTCGCCCTTGACAGAAGGCCATTCACGCAATAGTTAATTATAGGGAAAATGAAAAAAGGGGGTCCGCTGCGAGATATCGTGACAAGGGGGCCCCAGCGACAAAAGGCTGTCCTCTGAGCGCCCCGTATATTGGACGCATTGCCGGTTTGCTGCTCATCCGGCGCCCGTCCGGCAACGTAGTCCTACTGAATGGCTCCCTTTGCCATTTGCACCCCCGGTAGAGGACTACCTTTTTGTCATTTCCCTTAATTACATTTGCAAAGTTGTCAAAGTGGTAGATTGCAGGCTTGGTTTTTACGCCGTAAAAACTGATCGTATTTACGTTTTTACGCGTAAAAACAGTTTTTACGTTTTAACGCATAAAAATGCGTAAAAATACGTAAATACAACGTAAAAACTGCCCGGTGTACATAAGGACAGTACATACAGAGTTACGGAGTCCGGAGAGTGGTAGCCAGACGCCCTGGAAGGGGCGGAAGACGAGTTTTTGTTGAACACCATCATCGCCATTGCCAAGGGCGAGGTGGACACTGTGTTGTGGGTGCTGGGTACGGCGGAGGACTGACCACTGTACGCAACTTTCATCATGTAATCTGGGCGTCCCAGGAAGCCGTAAAAACGTAAAAATAGCCGTAAAAATAGGCCCTTTTGCAAATTTACGTTTTTACATGTAAAAACGTAAAAGTAAAAACGTAAACGTAAAAACCAAGCCTGGTAGATTGGATTGGTCTTTTGTTGGACCCCAGAAGTAGCCCCACCAGGATACATGGAATGGACGTCATCCAGCCTTGAGATCCTCTCATTTGAAGAGTTAAGACTACCATTCCACCCATTCTCTTGTGCAAATGTCTAGATGATGCAAGCCCTACATTCTCATCTTGCAACGGCGTTGAGCGTTTGGATGTATCCAATCCTGTGGCTTCCAATGCAGCATTGCATCCGCGACCATGGGGTTCATGTCTTGAAGTTAACCCAAGGGCAAATGTTCACTGACGAGGAAAGAGCGACAGCCACGACTGGTAGATATGGAGATAAAGGACGCGCAGAGACCAGTCAGCATGACAGACAACACATCATGGCATCGCCACTACCGCTGCAATTCGATCTGCGCCATTCTGGTCTACTTTAAAATCCACTATGTTCCCAACACGACATTGATAAGACACAACTGTACGGCGGTGTCCATAACCTTACTGAATTATTCAGTATTCGGCATTGTACCAAACCGGTCCAGATGTTGGGCCTTCGGCCCAACGTTCTGCACTCTTGTCGTCTCCTATATCGAACAGAACCTGCAGGTTCATTTTTCCTTTATGGAAATGCATTTCTCTCCCCGAGCTCGCGCCTGCACAACAACCGAGGCCCTCGGACAGCGATGCAATTCGCCATCGTCGCGAGAATGCGTCGCAAGAATAGGTGGCCCGCCCTTCATACCAAGGAATCCCCATTCGATGGGGAGTCGTTGCTCCCTTCCCGACAATCCCTCTTGCCCAACCATTGAAACACCCGCTTTGTCTCTGTGCCACCCTTGGGCCTCGGTGGCTGGGCTGCGCAGTTGATGTTGTTCCTTCGACAACACATCCTGGGGAAGCCCTCCCGCGGATCCTGTTTCCACCCGCACGTTTGGATCGCAAAACAACCGCTGCAGCCAGATTGGCAAATTGACACACGGATGCTGCATCACATTCGACAGTATGAGGTTCCCAACGAGTTATGGTTGGGACACGCCTGAGACCGCACGAGGGATGACAGGTGGACACGCAGCCCGAGGGGCACGAGGCCAGATTCCCGACGAGGGCGCGAAGCGCGCCCGGAGTCGAATGTAACCGAGCTATCCTGATACCATCTGAGATTTCAAAATATCCCACTGCAATTACACGAGGCCGGTCCCTGACTGTCATACGCCCATCATTCAAACCACAGTCCGCCAAAACTGCTGGCCATACAGGCGGCGCTGCCAGTGCCCAGCGCGCAGTGCGCTCAGGGAGCGCCGCGCAATGCGGCGCTGTGCCCAGGGCCACTGCAGGCAGCCGCTCCTTGCCGCGCTCATGTGCCCACTGTGCGAAGCGTCCCAACGCCTTGAGATCTGCCCATCGTCTTGGCCACCGATGGCGGGGGCGCCGACCCTCGATCGCCATGAAATCAGCTGCTGGCCAACGGAAGGGAGCCCGATGGAAGTCGGACCTTGAAGGGCAGGGCGCGTGGGGTGCTGACGAGCCCAACCTCTTCGTTTGGATCGTTAGCTTGGTGCGGTTGTGCAGAATGCTCAAGCAACGATTGCCCGATTCCCGTCGGCATGGGCTGATCTCAGCACCCGGGTTTTGCCCGTGCGACAAGCGAGCGAGCTGAAAACGTCGCGTGTCAGTTGCTGACTTCTTTTCGCGTGCTTCCTGTCGTGCCGGCGGAAATTGCGCTTGGCCAATGGGAATTCCGGCTGGGCGGCGGAAACTGCGCTTGGGCCAGCGTAAATTGTGCCAGGGCCAGCGGAAACTGCGCTTGGACCGGCGGGTAGCAGGGGTACGATCCCCGAGGGAACGGCACCCCAAGCGTCGCTTGCATTGTCTTGATCGTCGACGTCCAGAATTGCCTTGTGGAGAAGGCTTACGCCAGCCGATCTTGCGGTTTCTTCGTCCAATCCGTGCATGCTAGGTTGACCAAGTCGCGGGCGCTCCGCGAGTCGGGTTTGGCGCCTTTCGCGCGCAGTTCTGCTGGAGTTTTCGCGCGTTTTTTCCGGTCCCGCCACCCGCGCCTCGACGGGGCGGGTGTCGCAGTACTGCGGCTGCCAGCTCGGCGCTGGCCAGTGGCAGGCGCCAGAAACGGGACATCCAGGGTGGGAATCGCTGGGGGGGGTGGGACTCGAAGGGGTGGGTGGGACATGTGGTTCTGGTTGGTGGGACTCGAAGGGGGGGGTTGGGACATGTGGTTCTGGTTGACCCTCGCCAGCCCGGACGCCCAGAGCCACATGTCCCGCCCCCCCACCAGGGCACAGGGGGGCGGAATCCGCGATTCCGCCCTCCTGGTGCGTGGAGCGGGGGCGGAATCCGCGATTCCCGCTGCCGTGGTGGGCTGGTACTGGCTGATTCCCGCTCCTCTGAAGTATTGCGCTTATGTACTAACCCCAAAATTACCGTGCGGACAGTCTCGGTTTGTGATTGTCGCGCATCGCGCGCTGTAGTCGCGATGGCGGGGTTGTTCACCCCACCCCGTGCTCGTGCTCAAGCACGCCTATCGGGCTGGGCGGGACCCACGCCACCGATCCCCGAAATAAACACATCAACTCACTCCTAGGCCTAGGGGTCTGGCCTTGAGGTGGGCGGTGACTGCCTCGCGTGCCGCCATTGCCGTGCCGATGGCTGTCACGGCAGAGAGCGCTCAGGGAAAGGGAGCAGCTCCCCGCGCCGGAGGGAGCCCTCGCGTGGGGCTGCAACTTCGACTGTTGAGTTTTGGGACCCGAGCCATCGCCGCTGCGGCCATCGGCGCTGGCGATGGCCGTCATCGCCAGCGCGACAACGGGGAATCGCGTCCCACTATCGCAACGCACAACTCCGCACCTCGAGAGACGGCGCTGGGTTCGGCGAGGCCTCTGCCGGCACCACCATCGCCATTGCGTGCCATCGCCACGGGCGTGATTCGCAAGCCATCGCCGCAGCCGCATTGCCCTCAATCGACCCAAAAGCGCATTCAACACTCACAGCCTGTGATTGACACAAACCGCGCGCTGTGATCGCGCTGGCGGAGGTCCATGCCCCACCCCGTGCTCGCGCTCAAGCACGCCCCCCGACCCCGGTGGGAGCCGCACACCCGCTCTCAGCTTTCCAAACTTTACGTCAGGGCCCGGGGGCCCCGAACGCTTGGCCTTCAGGGGCGCGCTGATTGCATCCATTGCCGCGGTCGTTGCGCCGATGCCTGCCACAGCAGAGCACTGGAAGGCTCTGGAGTACCTTCGCGGCCCGACTGGCGCCCTCGCGGGAACGGCAACGCCGAGCCGCGCGTTTGGGCGCTGACCATCGCCGTTGTGGCGATTGGCACCGGCGATGGCCTGCATTGCCACCGCGACGACGCTGGATCGCACCGGGAACGCGCGCCTCGAGCGCAAATGGACACGGTGTGCCGCAGCCGCGGCACCGATAGCCGCGCATCTCCCGTCGGCCGCCCTCGAGCGCAGCCACCGGCCCACCCGGGAACGCATGCCCACGGCACCGCTCACGCAACCCCCCTTTCACCAGGGGTCCATTCTTACACAAGAACGCTGAGTCAGACTCTAAAAATTCTTTTCCGGGGCGCTCTTAGCCGCGTTCCCAGCCTATAATATAAGACCTGAGGCAAACCACTTCAAATTCTTGGCTATTCGCTTCGCTGCACATTTAGACCGCCAACCCAAGGGCGCCAAACGCCGGCACACCTTGCTCCTCTTGGCTCTGCGCTGACCCAAGGCACACAGGAGTGCCAGAAACCGGAATGTGGCAGCCCTAAATAGGACTGAAGGCAGCGCCGGCCCAAGACACGCAAGAGTGTGTGCCAACCCAACGTCGTCCTTGGTAGAAACCCATTAACAGAATAGCTGAGTCCAATCACATTAACCCTGGTGGGCCCAAATGGTACTTAAAGCAGTGCCGGCCCAAGGCATTCAGGCATCCGTGCCCAATCAGCGTCGCCCTCAGCAAAAAACCATCAAAAGAATCGTTATTTCAATTGCAACAACCCTGGTGACCCGTTGACAAAACCGCTAGCCTAACTTACACTAGCCCTGGTGGCCCTAAATGGGTGAAGGCAGCGCTAGCCCAAGACATGCAGGCGCGCGTGCCCACACAACTTCGCCCTTGGCAGAAACCCACCAACAGCATAGGCAATTCCCACTACACAATGAGCTTTCAAAATTCATAAATTTCAATCTGAACACGCACAGCCCGTTTTTTCCCTCCTCTCAACCCCAGAAAGGTCTGATACTGCGCTCCTCTTCCCCAACCAACTCAGGCCCGAGACCGTCTTTCAAATAAATGGAGGCATCACACCCACACTTTGCCCCATTCTTGGGTACAAGTGTGTCCCATGCTTCCGATGGGAGTGTGAACCACCGTAGGGCTCTTGCATCTTCTTCCATGTCTGCATCCCCTTGGGGCTTCGTCCCACTCGCGAGTGTTCCTGCCTTGGCAAGGATTTGGCGAGCCTCTGTTAAGGCATTGGCAGGCTTGGCGGCTGGCCAGTGGCTGCCAGAATCTCTGAAACTGCCAGGACCACGCTGTTCCATGGTGAGAAACGCGTTGTTCAGATCTTCGTCTGCAGCACAAGAACAGTACATCACATGCCGCTGTCAACAAGAAACTAGACTTAAAATATAGATAAACTGAAGTTTGATTTCAGTGCATGTTGCAAACAGTCGCCAGGTCACCTCGGCTTCGATTGTAGAAGCAATGCGATGTCCATGTTTCGGTGTTCAGCTGGAGACCATGTAGCTTAATCTGACATTTTCTTGTGCAGTTTTTCAGCATGGGGCATTCTAATGTGAACGTGACCAATCACTCCCTTTCTCCATTCACTCATTTTCCTTTTTTATCTTTTTTGTTGGCGATCAGCAGTCGGCGGGGACAGCACTAGAGATTAATTGAAGCGCACTACGATAGCAAACAATGTTTAAGCCAACGGCTGGCTTCTGTGCTGAGGATTTTCCGCCTGTTCTTCTAAGTTCTCAGTTTCTATGCACAGGTACACATGAGTAGCCAGATGCTCATACACACGCGTACATTCACGCGTTTTATGCTCACAAACGCAACCATATTTGGCATTGTCACCGACAATTAGTGCGTTCGACGCCTCCTAAAGCAGCACAACTTGGAATCCACCTCGCCCTCCCGCGAGCATCCTTGCCCATGTAAAGGGGGACGACCTCACTGAGTAAACAGCCGCCCTTTACCCGCTCAGCGCGCTGTCTGCCACTCCCAGATCCACCGATGCTTTTGATGTGCATGGGAGTAAGGAACAATTTGGAGTCATGTGCGAACGTGATGCTACGCTCGTCATCGTCTGGACTGCGCAAGGGCTGTGTTCTGTTGTTGGGGGACAATGGGTTCCAAATTCATTGGTACGCTTGAGCCTCAGAGATATCTGCGGTTGGCGTACGTTACATAGTAACGCATTACTACTTGCCAAACGTCAACCTTATCCGGCGTGTTGGGTGCAGGATGTGCTTCGCCGACTCCCAGCGTCCAGGAACCCCTTTGCAATGTCACCACTCAGAACATGTTGGGGCACTCTCGCTACGCTCAAGCCTTTGAGTCGCAGCATCTGAGCATGGAAATCAAGATGCAGGGTTAGCATCAACCCCCCGATCAGATTGTCACCTGCGGCCGTTGGCGACTCGCTGTGGAACCAGCCTCCTTGCTCTGCGTCGAAGCCGTAGAGGGGCAGCAGCCTCCACCCCTCGCTGGCCACCAGCTCCACGGCGTCCAGCACGAACCGCACGTCGGCGTCGGACATGAAGTAAGGGAAGCTCAGCCGCACGAAGCCGTGCTTCAGGATCTCGTGCCTCGCCACGCGCGGCCCGTTCCTGGGGCAGTCCCCCAGGAACGGCGTCAAGCTGTCCACGAAGGCGTCTGAGAGGCGCAGGAGGTCCATGGCATAGGGCCCGGCGCACATGCAGCCCGCCCGCGTCTGTATCCCGAACAGGTCGTTCAGCAGGACGCACACGAAGCCATGGTGTAGCAGGCGCTGGGTGGGCGGGTGGGCCACGATGAACGAGAAGATGGGCAGGCGCTCGCGGGTGCGATTCCCCAGCAGGCACACGTTCCTCATTCCCCCCAGCCTCTCCAACGCCAGGGCGCACACCTCCCGCTCCCTCGCCAGTATGTAGTCGTGCCCCACTCTGGCCTTGAGCGTGAACGCCAGGCCGGCGCGAATGGAGCCCACGATGTCCGGTGTGCCGCCCTCCTCCCTGGCCTCCACATCCGCCAGGTAGCCGTGTTCTCGTCGCGTGACGAAGGCGACCGTGCCGCCGCCCACGCCGCTGGGAACGGCGTTCTGGAAGAGCGACTTCCTGGCCACCAGTACTCCCGGCGTCCCGGGACCCCCCACGAACTTGTGGGGAGAGATGAAGACGGCATCATGCCCATCGGTCTGGACGTCGATGTCCAGGTATGGGGCGGCGGTGGCGTAATCCCACAGCGCCAGCGCCCCCCATCGGTGCAGGATGGCCGTGAACGCCTGCACGTCGGTCAGGCTGCCCGTGATGTTGGACGCCGCCGAAAACACCCCAATCATAAGCCTCCCGCTTCCCGCAAAGCGCTCCAGCTTCTTCTCCAGATCCTTCGCGCAAGCCCGACCGCCTTTGTCCAGGCGGATTCGCACGACCTCCGCTCCGGACTCCCTGAAAGGCAGCACGGTCGAGTGGTGCTCAAACGGCCCCAAGAACACCACCGGACGGTCGCATCCCTTGCCTTGCATCCGCCACCCAGCGCCCTTCGATGCCGCAGACTGCCCCGCCAAGCCCAGGGCCTGCACCACTTTGTGAACCGCGGCAGTGCATCCCGATCCGGCGAATAATACGACATAGTCGTCTGTGGCGTTTACCGCCCTTCTGATCGCCTGCCGGGCCTGCTCCCTCAGCCTGGTGGTGTGCCGCCCCGTGTACGTGTCCACCGTGTGGGTGTTGGCGTACATGGGCAGCACGCGATCGCGGATGTAATCCTCGATGAAGCCTAGGGACTTGCCGGAGGCCGTGTGGTCGCAGTAGACCAACCGTCGAGGGCCGAAGGGTCCCGCAAACGTGGCGTCGCCCCCAATGACCGACCGCTCGATCTCAGACGCCAGCTTGGCCCCGCGCCTGTGGGCCTCCTGCGCGGCTTCCCACCAGGGCCTCCCGGCTCCATGAGGACTGGAGCGGTCCATGCCCAGGGTGTCCGCTACTCTCGCCTATCCGACTCCTTCCCCGCTTCTGTGGTCAATTGCGCAAAGAATCGTGTGGAGGGCCGCGGCTTTTGAGGCACCACTGCACGCACAGCTGCCCGCGCGGCACCGAGATCGGGCAGAGAACGAATAGCTGCCACGGTAACCTTCCGCAAAGCTCCGGGGGAGTGAAATAAAGGCCAGATGAGTTGCTGTCTGGTGTGGTTTGTGGGGTGTGGGTGCACACTGGCATCACGTGATGCCAGCTGATGTCGCGGGGGTTGAATCCTGTGACGGTGTGGTAGGTGCCGATCAGTCAGTCGCACCATATGACGCACACACAGATATGAATAAACAGATGTGTGGTGGGTGTGCAACGCGAGTCCGCGATGCAGTTCCTTGAGATTCATGCGAGGCCACAGACACGACAGACTGCACATCACCGGGCAAAGCCGAGTGGCTACTAACGACGGCTGTTACACTCCCAGATCCACCACACTTATGGGCGGAGAAACTGCTGCCGATTGTGGCGACCATACCCGCGCCCCAACTTCGTACTTTGCAATAACTGACTATCGAACAGATGAGATAGTGTGGCATCCACCAACGTACCTCTGCCGTGTCAAACGGATGCAGTCCAGGCGCTCCTGCTGCAGAGCCGTAAATGCCAGACCAGCCAATTCCTCAGGCTGATGGGCAATCGAATGCGGTCCCAATCGATGGGAGACACCGCGGTCGCCTCCTTACCCGTAGGCGAAACGGGAAACGGCAAGGGAAACGGGGATGGAGTCGCAGTTAGAAGCAGAAACTCATGAGTCAACGTTCAAAGTGGTGGGCCCATATGTGCCGCCTTACACGGAAGGTTTGTCTTATATACAACATTACTCCCGAGTGCCGCGTCCCCTCACGTGCAGAACTCCCGGATGCAGTACAAAAGAACCTTCTCCGTCCTAGCGTACCAATCCCCGACAACCAATCCGCACCACAATCCCTGTTTGAGCCCTTCGCACGATACTCCCGAGCCCCTGGCGCACCAAAGTGACAACTCCCAGATTCGAAGGCATTACTCCCGGATCGAAGGCATTACTCCCGGATCGAAGGCATTACTCCCGGATCGAAGGCATTACTCCTGGATCGACGTGAAGTCGCATCGCCATCCACACGTTCACAATCTGACAGATGGCTACAACTCCCGACCTGGTCCAGGTCACTCCCGGCCTTGACGGTCCGATCCCTGGCCTTCACGATCCACTCCCGGCCTTGACGATCCAATCCCCGGCCTTGGCAATCCACTCCCAGCCTTGATGATCCAATTCCCGGCCTTGGCGATTCACTCCCGGCTCGAACGATCCGATCCCTGGCCTTGACGATCCACTCCCGGCTCTGACGATCCAACCCCCGGCCTTGGCGACTTACTCCCGGCCTTGATGGTCCGATACCCGGCCTTGGTGATTTACTCCCAGCCTTGACGATCCAATCCGGGAGTAAGGTGGGAGTGATGGGAGTCATCCTCAATGATGCCGTTTCAGGGTGTCGGAGTCGAGAAGGGGTCTTGCTAGGGTCAGGGAGTCACCCAACAATTCAAGGGCTCCAAGGGATGTGGGTTGGAAGGTCATCAGCGACGGTCACCTGGTTTGAGGGTCAACGAGACAAGGGAGTCAGTGTTGCGGCCCCGTCGGCAGCCGCTGGTTTCCGGAGGCGTTGGGGTCGCCCTGCCCTGCAGCTCGGCTGTTGGAGGTCAGCCGGCCCTCTCCACCTTGGACGGTGGGCGTATCCGGGGCAGTCGTTCCTGTGGTCGCGCGGTGGGCCCAATGCTCGACGGGGATCGATCCCCGGGGCCTGCTGTCAGCGAGTGGTGGCGGCGCAGCGAGGCGGTGGTTCGCTGGCTCGCGGGAGGCCAGAGAGTGGGCCAGAACAGTTACACGGATTCACAGCATGCGCGCGCACATATCGCATGCGCGATGCCCGATCGCGGGTCCATCACTGTCACATCAAGACAAGACAACTCATGTGCGCGTCCAGGCACTCAGTCACCATCCACCGTTCAACTACGATCGACCCATTGTCCTCTAATTCCAAGCGTCTAACACCCGACCCCCTGGCCCTAAGTACTATGACTTCAGGAGGCCATATCTTCGTCAATTCTTAACGGATTTGGGCGTTTAAAAGCGCATTGGAACCAGGAAGCTCTTAATAACGTCCCCAAAAGGTCGATTTAGCCAATTACGTAATTCACACTCCAGAAATGTCAAATAAGCCTAACCCCCAAGCAGCCACGTCACAATACTCCCCCCTTGGGGTAGCTTTCGCCCCCGAAAGCACACTATCCCATACTAGTGTCTTCCTCGGGCTTATCCCTCTTGATCATCTTCTGGAGCTCTCTGGCATAGGTGAAATTTCCAGCCGGTATCCAGGAGGCATCGTCAATACTCCACCCTGTCCATAACACCAAAAACTCCTTATGCCTCCTGCCACTGGGTCCGGCCCATCTCCATCGCAGCAGCTTCTCTACTTCGTACGGTTCATCAGCTTCTGGCTCGATCTCGGCATCATCTGTCTCCTGTGGGGTAGACCATCTGGACGATCTGAATGGTCGGAGCAAACTGGTGTGAAAGACGTTATGAATCCTCCACCCTTCTGGTAGCTTCAACTCGTAGGCCACTGATCCCACCTGACGGACCACAGCGAATGGTCCTACGAATCGTCGCTTCAGTTTGCGAACAGGTGCATTCTTCAACTGCAAATGCTCTGTACTGAGTAGCACCTGTTCCCCATTGTAAAACCTCTGTTCTCTGCGCCGCTGATCGGCCTGACGCTTCTGCCTCTGCTGAGCCTGATGAACTGACTGCATCGCCATTCTGAATGTTTTCTTCATCCTGTTAACAAAGACGTTGACACCCTCAATGTTGGTCTGGTCCACATCCTTGATCAGGGCCAATGGGGTCACTGGCTCAAAGCCGTAGTTCAGAAAGAAGGGCGTGTACCCCGTGGATGGCGATGCGCTGCTGTTGATCACGAACTCCACCATGGGCAAGTATTTTTCCCAGTGAGTGACTTCCTGACTGCCATGGATTGTACACCTGAGGACTTGCTCCACCACCCGGTTGGCTGCCTCTGTCTGTCCATCTGTCTGGGGGTGATGAGCGCTGGACATCCTCAGCTTGCTACCCAAAATCTTCCAGAACTCTTGCCAAAACTTCGACACAAATCTTGGATCTCGGTCACTGACGATCGATCTGGGGATCCCGTGAAGTCGTCCAATTTGTTCCCAATAAACTCGAGCAGTCTCAGCAGCAGTGATGGTCTGCTGAACGGGTACCAAGTGTACCATTTTTGTAGCTCGGTCTACAACTGTGAGGATCCCATCATTTTTCCTTTCACTGACCGGTAGACCCATGATGAAGTCGAGGCTGACATCACTCCATTTTTCTTCTGGAAGTTGCAACGGCTGAAGGAGTCCTGCTGGCAACTTGTGGACACTCTTCTCTGACTGGCAGACCTCACATCCCAACACAAAATCTCGTACATCCACTGTGTGATCTGGCCAGTAGAAATTCTGCTGTAATTTCTTGAGTGTCTTGTGGTAACCGAGATGTCCCGCATATGGTACTGTATGTATTTCTGCCATAATCTTCTTGCGGGCGTCCTCCACATCTGGTACCACCAATCTCCAAGGTTGTCTGTCCTCGGTGTTGTCCTTCAATTTGATCTCAATGAATCCATGGTTCAATCGGTAGTCACGATTCCCGATCTTGGTGACTCGTCCTTGGGCAGATTCCAACTGAATCAAAATTTCTGCCCATCTGTTGTCTTGCTTGTAGCCCTCTTTTATCGAGTTCCTCAAGTCTTCCTCCAGAGTAATCCTGGTGCTGGTCACCAATAAAGAATGTAAAGAATTTTGTTCCCCACTTGCAGCCACCACTGCACCCTCAGGACTGGACTTTTTAAATATTTCGTCCAGTTTCTTCTGAATATCGTTTTCCCCGCTGTCACCCTCATGAAGACGAAGACGCTGGACCAATGACTCCTCTTCTGCGCGCACATCTGTCATGCATCTCAACTCCTGAATACTCCTGCGCGTCAGAAAATCTGCAGGGTTGTCCTTTCCTGATATGTGGACAATATCGCAATCGTAACCCTGCAGAACCTGCACCCATTTCCACACCCTCCTGTTCACTGTAGGCTGGTTGGGCAGGTTTTTCAAGGAGTCATGATCTGTCTGGATGACGAAGTGGCGGCTGGCCAAATAGTGCCGCCATTTCCCAACAGCCCAAGTGATGCCCAGCAATTCTCGTTCGTATGCACTGTACCGGGTCTCGGCCGGGTTGAGCTTCCTACTCTCATAGCAAACGGGTTGCAGCCCGTTGCCAAAGTCCTGTTGTAGTATACCACCCACTGAAACGCCTGATGCATCTGTGGTAACCACAAACTCCCGGTCGAAGTCCGGTAACTGCAGAACTGGTGCAGTCACCATGGCTGTCTTCAAACGATTAAATGACTTTTCTGCTTCGTCACTCCAAACAAAGGCCCTGTCCTTCTTCGTCAAGTCCATCATGGGCGCTGCCAGCTCGCTGAACCACCGTATGAACTTGCGATAAAAACTGCACAGCCCCAAGAATGAACGGACATCGGTGACATTTTCTGGTGTCGGCCAATTCAAAATTGCTTGAACCTTGGACAATGAAGGCTTGATCCCCTCAGCCCCCACGTCAAAGCCCAAGTATTCCACCTCGGTTCTGAAGAAGTCGCATTTCTTCAATCTTCCAAACAACTTCTCCGACCGTAGGCGAGTCAGAACTTCCCTGATGTGCTTTATGTGTTCCTCCTTTGTCCGGCTGTAGATCAAGATATCATCAAGAAACACTAGCACGAACTGGTCCAAGCCTTCCCTCAAAATCGTATTCATAATCCTCTGGAAGGTCGCTGGTGCGTTGCACAACCCGAATGGCATGACAAGATATTCAAAACTGCCATATCGACTCACAAAGGCTGTCTTGTGTACA